TGAAAAAAGTAATTTTTATTTCTATTTTCTGTGGAAAAAAATTAATTTTCCGAGAAAATGCCACTAAACTGCTTGAATAAAGCTTAATGCTTTTTCCTCACTAAAATGCTGGATAAAACGCTAGGATAACGAACAAAAGCCTACTTGACCCATCTGGTTTTATCGGAATACAATAATCTTCGACCTATAAGAGGTTCACTCCTCTCATCAGAGGGCATTTTACTGTAATTTGGTCTCATTGAAGCCGCCAGATGCAACTGAGGAAGTCACTGTTTATTTATTGCTTTATTAGTAATCAAAGGAAGTCGAATTTGTGCTGAGCATTTGGAGGTAACGTCTCAATTTAGCGTGCACATTACAACTTCCGGTTTCGGAATTTATCCCGGGAATCGGGTCAGGAAAGTTGACTTTGAAAACAAACAGGTTATTTTTAAAACACTACCCAACCGGGCCCTTTTGTAATCATTGCAATTCAATATCCATAATCATCGGCGTAACACGTTTTAAAATTTTCCAAGAAACGTGCTTTGCGTTCCTTCGCTCTTAAAATATTTTGAACAAAGATGTACACGTAATTGCTGGCATTATGCAAATTGAAGTTACTTTACGGCAAGCTTCAGATATTTTTACTCGGTGGCAAAGATCGTCAAGACAAACGACTGATAGACTACTGATTAAGGGTGAGTTATGAAATAATGTATATTTAAAGATCAGCCCGTTTGTTTTGTAACTGTTGCTTTGAGACATGTACAGGACTCGAAATTGTCGTCTCGATATCAGATGAAAGTGAAACAGATTTTAGGATTTTATTTCTTATTAGATATCTTTGTGTTTAGTTTCGGTGTATCTATTTACGAGCCGGTCGAAGCGTTTTGGCAGGGTCGTAATGAGGGTTACAACTTTGCAGCCATTCTGCACAATAAAATGTCTTTTTACCCAACGTTCTTCTTTACCGAAATTCTAACCACGTTCTGCGCTTTCACGCGTTCAGAAATACGAGTGCTAATCTGTAAACCAGACAAATACCTTTGCACGATTTGTACTCACACCACGAAGCTAGGTTGGATGTGGCGATAATGTCGATATTCTGTACAAAACTGGTCTAATCCAGAGCAGCAAAGTTTTGTTTAGCCTACTGCTTAGAGTTTATTGACAAGTCTTTAAAGACGCACGTGTCAACACGCGAACATTTCACTTTCCTCGACTTGTTGTCTGTCTGCAGTTCGCGTGTGGAAAAACAATTGCAGAAATTTCCCTTAACATGTCTCGGCCGCAATTTCCTGTTGAGCAGGTGACATGCTAGGTTTTGAAAAGGGAAAAATCGATTTTAGGGAAAAGTACCTTGTTAATTCGCGAACATTTAATACTTGTTCGAGTTAAAATCACGGATGTCATTTAACAATTGACAGTTGATGCTTAGAGAAAAAAAATTTGTCATGTGTTTTGTTAGGGAAGTTTGTTCGTTGATATATTTAAAAGCAGTTTTCCAGACTTCGTTTAAACCAGGTTAAAACGGCGAGTTCGTTTAAAGTTTCTGTACTGTTTTTAAAGAAGAAGGCTGCCATTAAGGTCGGCATACACGAGGGGACAAGTCCCTGCGACTAGTCTCGCCTGCAACTACAATTGTAGTCCCCTGTAGAGTTTACACGAGGGGACTGGTCGCAGGGACTTGTCCCACGCACAGTTCACACGAAGCGTTTTGAGGAACAGGACGCAGGGACTTGTCCCAAAAATTCAAACTGGTTTGAATTCGTGGGACTATTCGTGGGACTGGTTTGAATTCGTGGGACCAAAGTTGGTCCCATGCGACTAGATTTTGAAGCAAAAATGGCCAGTTCACACGATGGGACTTGTCCCCGCGATTTGTTGCAGGGACTAGTCGTAGGGGCTAGCCCTGTCGTGTGTGCCGCCCTTTATGTCAGGCAAACGCGGAACAACCACAGCCACTGGCCACTGTTGCTAAATCTCACAAACTTGAGGTCCGTCAGTTTACATTGTAATATTCAAAAGACCGTCCGTTTGTGACCAAAATTCTCGGTTTAGTACATCGTAAAATTCGTGGCATTCACTTGTTAATCCTCGATACAACAGTTCCTTTCATATATTCAGTCACATGGATAATTCTTTTATTTATAGCAATGGCAAGCATTTTGTATTGTGGATTTCGAAAGTTGTCAGAAACTATAAAAAGTAAAGCTTGATTTCGGCTTGGTCACGCTATCTTAGGCCGGATGTCACGAAATGATATTGAAATCGAGTGAAATATCTGCTATTTTATTTCTTTAGTAAGTTCTAAGCTCTTAACAGTAACAAAGTGAACAGGCAAAATAATTTTAAATTTATGTATTTATTTTTGAAATTTGATCTGTGCTACACAGCGGATTCCAAACAATTACAGACCAAATTTTCCGAGAAACTATCTTTGCAACGAAAACGAAATCTCTGCCTGAATCGAACTTGTGCAATATTCACACTCAACGGTTTTGCTTCTGATGTTTTCCTGTTCAGTTCTTACTTAGTAAGAACTTAGTAAGTTCTAAGCTTTTAACAGAAACAAAGTGAAGAGGCAAAAGGATTTTAAATTTATGTATTTATTTTCGAAATTTGATCTGTGCTACACAGCGGATTCCAAACGGTTACAGACCAAATTTTCCGAGAAATCGTCCTTGCTGTAGAAAACAACATGTCAGCGTCGAACTCGTGCAATATTCATCCTCTACGGTTTTGCTTCTGAGGTTTTCTTATTCACTTCTTGCTTGTTTTTGAAATCTTCAATTCAATCTCCCTCAATTTGGAGAGCAGTTGGTGTCAAATACCTTATTACATGAAATTTTGGTGACACTTTAATTTAGCCAATTGAGCGATTATTCTACGAATCGCTAAATTAAAATGCATCAAAATTAATATAAGTGTCGCTAAATTCAAATCGTAGCTAAATTAAAGTGAGTAAAAAATGAAATCCCGCCATGTGATCAGTTTCACACAATCAGTTCATGACCAGGCTAAGAAATTCTCCAAAGAGAAATTTACCACCTGGTAACCGGGAGAGGTTCAAAAGGCAGTTAGACAGTAGGACAAGCTTTGAAGACAAAGAGGTTGATCTCAGGATGTCAGTAATGAAGCCAATTCAAGCAAGCTGGCTGGTCGCATTAATACGACTCTCTGACCGGCGCTGAAGGAAGGAAATGCATTCTCAACGGTGTGAGTCAAAGAAATTGCCAGCAGAGACAAACCACTGCCACCTGTTGATCCATTTGAAGTAATCCACCGAGCCTGATCGGTGACGTTAGAATGTTGATGGTTAGGTACTCGTAAAAGGAGCTTTGACTTTTCGTGACAATGCAAATATGAGTCAGGACAGCATTAAGATAGGACATTACAGTTGCAGTTTCGTTTGTTTCGTTCAAAATTAATTAAGTTGCCAAACGTTGTATGATTGTGATTTGAATGAAGCTATTGAAGTTTATGATTTTATCACATAAATGTTCTATAGTCGTCGTAAAATTTTTTAATACCTTAATTCGTGAAAGTTTCAGTTCGTGAGATCGCAAACACTGAGTGACTTATGTTCCAAATTTACGAAAAATCGCTAAATTAAAGTGTTGCTAAATAACGGTTTTTCAAAATCGTTAACTTAACGTGTCGCCAAAATTTCATACAATGAGGTGGAATCCTCTAAAGGCCGAAAATAGTGTCATTTAATTTCTCTAATATATATTTGTTTAACCATTCACTTAAATGTGGCTATATTTTGTAAACAACGCCTCATTCAGTTATAAATGGTAGACTAATGGTCACTTTACACAACGCTTGTTGCTGTTCATGTTGTCTGGTCTATATGAGAGCTGGAAAGCAAATTTACGCGATAATATTAAACCAGGAACGTTGATCATGGTGTAATATCTGGGATTTTACGGCACTGCCGCGTCAGGTGGAATCACGGTTTAGGTTACTGGCAAACCTACAGTGAGGTCTACAGTGAGATCAAATCGAAGAGCTTTAGACAGCTGTCCATTCTAGCCGGGTAAATTTCTTTTATTCATAAATAATAAAACTATGCTCGTGGCATAATTCATCTTTCTCATGATATAACCAGTTTCCAACCGAAATTTCCAGTGTCAGAGTAACATCCATTCTTCTAGTGTGTGAAAACTCCAGCCCTGACCAGGAAGACATTCGTTGTATATGATAATTTGATTCGAGTATGGTTTTGGGTTAGGTGAGCACCAAAGGGTTGTTTTATTATATAAAATAGGATGCCCATTCTGATAATAACTCCTATGGAAAAAAAAAATTCAAATGGTTTTCCCCTTATTGTCCATTATTCAGTAAAGTTTATCAATCTTTCAAATGCATTTAGCTTAGCAGCAATGTGGTAAAACCTGAGTAAACTGGTTTCTTGTTAATTTGTTAAGAGACAAGATCATAAATGAACTTTAGCTGATGTATAATGTGGACACATCTGACAACTGAAGAAAGGAAATATTCTGCAGACATTACAAACAGTTTTATTTTCCCCAAAAGGCAGCAGTTGTTGCCCAAATTTTAATGATCCCATCACGTACAGGTACTGCGTCGATGATATTTGTTTGGTTTCTTTTTTCAGTGCCAACGAATCAACAAAAAAATGGAAAAGAAAATAAAGTAAACTCTTTGGCATAAGACAAGCCAAATACCTGAATCTCTTAGAAGAAGACTGTTTATATTTCAGCCATCAAGACTTGTTATGTTTGAATGTGAATAAGCGGGCAAGCCAGTGGAATGATAACATTATACAAGAGTGAAAGTATCAAATAATGTCCGAGCTTGGAACGTATGGCGCTAATTCATAAAGATTTCCTTCTCTAGTGCACCCATTTCATTTCATTTCATTTCATTCAGTTCTTTATATGGTGACAGGAGATTTGTTGAAATCCAGTTTATATCATATCTTTGGTGTTTTACTCAATGAAAGATAAATATATAGATTTGAGGTTATTTCTTATATTACTCAAACTCACCAAGTAAGGCATTGTTACAGGGAAAGTGCTTTCCTTAAAAGGCCTTGTAGCTTGAAATGGGTCTCTCCTGCGGATCTCTGCTGCTTGGCCAACTGGAAGGGAAGGTGGATGGTGATCTAGGAAAACAAATAAACCAAGTCGGTTTACATCGAAAATCTGCGATAAATTTTCGAGGTCAATACTTTTAAAGCTTAATCGCATAGGTCTTTTAAACACCCAAATGAATGATCGCTACAAAGCAACACAGCCCTCTTGCTGTCCTTTTCGCTGGATGGTAAACGTCGTTCATTTTCAGCCCGAGCTCATATTTTTCTCTGACTAAAAACATGTTTAAAAGGTGTAAGACAAGTACTGTAATTTGTTCGATTCTGGTATTATACTCCTTGTCTTTTCTGAACGTTGCTAACGAAAGAATGAAAGAAAAGAAACATGTATTTCTACAAACTATTAGTACTGTGTACTTGATGCCAGAGAGCTAACTAATCGTATTAATAAAAATTATCTAGAAAGTATTGTCTGAAGCCTTTAACTTCTCTTCGCCTTTCTAGTCTCCATTTTATTTTCCAACTTCGTGTGCGGCAAATATATATGAGGAAGTAACAAATTAAATTGTAATATTGATAATAATTACTACGGCATAATTATAAATCAATAAAATATATAATTATTACAATTATATAATTATTAATGATTATATATTAATTATTGTTAATTATTACGAGGTAATCAGTCTTAAAATACAGCTAAAAGTCTGTTTTCTAAAGCTGCTGCGAAGAGAACCGTGTGTTTCCTTGATGCTTTGTTCATGTTCACGGATATGATATTGGTCCTAGATGCTTTAGTTGTGTTTCGAAATTTAATCGAGTAATTATTTCGCAATCATGACAACGTCATGATCATAAGATTTTAACAACAGTCTTAAACATGGAGATGTGATGTGTGCTGTCGACTGCCATTCTTTTTGTTATGTCTACCTATTCATGAACACGCCAGTGACGAACGAAAGCGAAAGAACGAGCTACCCACGCCACTGATCCGGTCCTAAACTTGTAATGTAGAAATCGTCTTCTTCATCTGATGTCTTTTAATTATTTGTAAAATAAACAACTCACCAATAACCCATTTTGATGAATTAACAGAATTGTTTCAAGGCAGTGTTGAATGCTCAATTCAACAGGCAAGTATTAAGGGAATGATCGAAAGTTGGACTGTCTTAAATTTCAAGCTATTCTAAACGCGAATGAACCTGTTTGACAAGGAAACTCTGACCATCAGCGGTTCAGCTTTCCTGTTGAGTTTCGCAGTTTTACTGGCAAGGTCAGAATTTAGATAAACATGCACCTTCTGGTAAAAAATGTAAAATCAGCGAGTGGACACAGCTCTCTCAAGAGATCAGCATTTTGTATTGAAAAATGTTTATGGATGGAACACACATGGGTTAATTAGAGAGTCTTCGTGACTGAAATAAAGTTGTGGCTAGCATGTGGTTTTTCTCTGTGTTTAGAAAGCCAATTAACACCTTTCAGCACAACTAACTTTAGTTTGTAGGTTCTCGATCAATGAAACGCCAAGATACACTTAAATGAAGAATACATGTAATCGCTAGTTCTCATCATGCCAAACTCATTTGCGCCAGTTTCCATATCATAAAACTACAATTGCTCAAAAAGACCTTGGACTTAAAGCAGGTTGAAATCCTCTGCTTTATTTACAAGCACGCAGGCCTCAATTTTTTTAAGGCGAGGCGACCGAAAAAGCAGTGTGGTATAAATTATGTCTTCGTGAGTTACGGCCACAAGCATGAGCAGGCCATTAGTTTTTCAAACATGAGGGAATCGCTAATCCATCAATGTGCCATTAATATCCACGTGGTGGTTTCAATTGGGAACCTGTCGATAGATACTATTTATCCATTTAAAATTTCATCTCAGTCTTAGTAATAGCATTCAGAATACGACTTGACTCAAGGCTGGTGAATTGTAGCGACGTATCTAAACGACTTCTTGTTATCTAACAATGATTGGGTCTTATTTGTCCCTATCGAATTTTCCTTCAGTAAACCATTTCATGACCCACAGTGGTCCTCTTATCGATTGCTGTTTCTAATGAACTCAATTCAATGTCATCATTGCGAGAAGGACTTAAATTCTCTACCGCATGTTACGGTACTTCACCTACCTCTACCGCGAAATGGCCTCGTCATCCTGTATATTTTGAAAGCATCTTTTCCCCTTGGACAGCTCTTTCCCCTTATCTCTTTAATATCAGGCAAAGCATTCAACGCACACCTGAAATTCGTCTTCCACTTTCGAGGGTCGGGATCATCCCTTCCTTCCTTGTATTTGCCAGTGTACAAAGCCCATGCTTGAAACAGAGCAGCATCGTCCACGCTCCAGCCATGCCGACTGCCATGTTTCCACGGTACTCGAAAGGTTCTCTCCTTTGGGTCTCCCACCCATCTCAAGCCATACTTTCCTTCGTTAATCTTTTGTACAAGCCAGTCTCGTAACCGAAGTTTTTTCCTATGCATTGTCTGACGAAGACAATTCACATCTAAAACTGTTGATTAAATGAACGATAAATTGCCATTTAAAAGATTAAATGCACAGAACTACCGATAACATTTTTCTGCTTTCATGTCGAGCGTGTCATCGGAGTCGCGCATCGCAATTTTATATTCTCAACGCACTGTCGTCTGGATATTTAAATGGCTTTGATAATGAAAATAGACTGTGTGTGCGTTTTGGTCATGAAGGTGTGGTTGCATACATTTCGACTCCTCAGAAAGGAAATCGTTTGAACAAAGTAATAGTACAACGAAACATTATAAACCACTTACCCTTTTCCTCGAAAGCACGCACTCCACGTGAAATGGTCTCTGATCTGTATAGGCGTGGATATAGACCTGTACCAAGTCTTTTAACTCAACATCCACCAATCAGCTGGGACTTACCCCTGGCAAAACGCCCCATACAAACCTGACAACTGTCGTCATTTAATTACGTGTGAAGGATATTTAACGGTACATGACGGCGGACTGATAAGACCAGACTAGTTTCGATCCTTTTAATTTTTTTAGAAATTGCTTACATCTTCTGCAAGGCTTTTGAAGCGCAGCGTGGGTCTGTGAAAACAACCGTTTAATTAGTTTCTGTACATATCACTCCAGTTACGTTTCAGTTGGAAGCTAAATTAAAGCAACACTGCCAAGGATATTTTTTTTCTCCCAAACAATGCAAGTTTAACAATGTCCATCAGTTGATCAATTAAATTAATCTTAAGCCAACCGTTTCTGAGGTTTCCCTTGCAGGGTAATTTAAGGCGCGACAGCCACTTGGAAAATTTTAAGTAGACGGGACAATTTCAATCGTTTTCTCTCTTTTCTCTCTCGTTCTCTTAAACTCTTGACTAACAAATACAGACAACGTGACTTGAATAGTCTCATAAAAATATCAAGAAAAAACGGCTATAACAAGCTTGTACAATTAACAAATCTCGTTAGAGGGGTCGTGTGTGTTTATATGTTTGGATCACGTGACCAGTCGCCAAACAGGAAATAGACAAACAAGGGAATTGCTGAGTTTCTAACTTTTTTTTTCTTGGGTTCCGCTCCTCTTGTCAGAATACAAAAATAGTGTAGTCAAATCTAGTCGGTCACGCATTTGCTCTGCAGACAGGAAGAACCATATTTCACCTTTTCACGGGAATAATCATACGCAACTATTCTGGAACATTTCCTGTGCAGTTGAAATGAAGCATTCGTGCTGTTTTAATTACAAGCCGTAGGCACTGTTTGTCTGGCAGTTTTTCAGTTTCACCGCAAAAGTTTCAGAGACTCCACGTGCTCAGCTAATACTTTAAAAACTAAAACAATCTAATAGTTTTTCAGTTTCTGTATCCTGGGTTATCCGGTGCGATTTGTGATTGACTGAGTTAGTGCGCCTTGCTGCAGCTGACATGTGTCAATCTTCCAGATAGCACGCGTAAACAATGACCATGGATTTTAAGGAGAATTAAATCTAAATTATAACATAAAATGTAAAGCGCTCCAGTTCAAAAAGCACTTCCTTTCAGCACAATTTTGAACAATATCTTAGATGTAGCCAGAGCTTGAGATTTTAATATTGTTGTTAATCAAATGTAAATCGTAAGAAATCGATCAATAACACGTGTTTGTTCTGAATCAGGTTGATGTATTAGTTTTCTCAAGTGAACTTTAACACCTAGATCTGATTGTGACGTCGGATTTTAAACGCTAATTGTTGAAAAATACCTGCCATCAGTTTAAAGCGGAAGTGCTTTGATGAAGCTTTTGATTAAAAAGAAGAAAAATTAAAAATCCTATTTAATTTGGGTTGGTCTCTGAACCACACAAAATCAGAAAAATCAGAACAATTTGGAATGATTTAGCATTCGTAAGAAAACTCTAGACTCCAATCTGGGATATAGTACTAGTTGCAGTGCGCGTTTACTTTGAATTAGCAGTCCAATCTCCTTTACTACATTCTAAGTAACGACTTAAGATAAGTGGCGCTAAATAAAGTGAAGCACGTTGATAACAGGATGTTGAATTGGTGTGCTAATACATATCTCTGCACAAGGTATTCATGTTAAAATGCAGGGCAAATCTATGTAGCATATGATAATGAGATCAAAAGCTCCGTCGAGATTTCTATCGCGTAGCCCTGGCCAGTTAACTATCGCGCATAGAAATCGAGAGCAGATTATCTAATTGTTTTAGTATAAATCTACTTGTCGCTCAAAACTAAATTAACAAGTAAATCCTCCTCTCTGATGCCTCGAAAACGCAAAGAAGCGGCCGTCATTTTGCTGAGAACCGCACACTGCTACGCTACTCACTATCTACAACAGAATAGATAATGAGTAGTGTAGTCAATCAGAGAACGGCATTCGTCATAGAACGCTTGTAGATTTTCTACAAAAAATAAACGCTCTCGCTCGTAAACTAAATGCTCCTAACTCACCAAAACAAAGTTATCAGGTGAATTGTTGAAGGGAGAGGTAATTGAGACGGATGTTTTATTTTGGCGATTTTCACCTTGACACGGCGACAGAATTTGAAAAAGGGCGTCAAACTTTTTCAGTTGACATCAGAACCTTGAACACCAGTTCTTTAAACAAAACAAAACCAATATGTTTAGGTTTTCATCAATGAAAATACGTTTTTTTTGTTCTGACCTTTCCAAGTCCTCTCATGATAGTGCCGTTAAATGTCTTAAATGGAACCCGAGTTTGTGCGTATCGAGTTACAGATCATTTGAGCTACTCTCGATCACAGGCCACGTTGCTTTTAGGCTTAAACAAAAGTTTTTTTTTTTTTAACGAACAGTACGGCCGTGAAAAAAGGGGAAAAAAAAAAACACGTTGTTGAACAACAGCCATGTGTGTGGTTCAGGTAACCATTTTTTTTTTTTTTAATATATTCTGTATCACTTTGCATGACTCTGACAAAGCAGGCAGTTAACAATTTCTTGATTTATGCTTTAGCGTGTCGTATCAGGATATACGGTGCAGGAGTGAGGTTTGGACTGCAAGACCGAAGCGTAAGAGTTGTTTGATGCAGGCGATAGCCTCGAACAACTCTAGTTTCCTTGAGTGCTCTCCAAACTTGCCAATTCCACGATGTATAATGGTGCTCGCTTCATAAGCGTCTTCCGCTCCAACAGTAAGGCTTACAATACTGATCAAGAAGAACTCTATCAAAAAAGCATTTTTGGTCGTTACCTTCAAGTACAATAAGGAAACATGGGGCAGATTTCAATTGTAAAATAAACCCGGCTGGCGTGGATCAAGAAACAAAAACAGAATTATTAACCTTATCGACATTAATTTGTTTAAAAGCGACTAGAAGAGAATTAGCCCAGTTTCAAAGAATTCACCAATAAGCTAGTACAATGAGCATGACTCAAGTTACGAGCTAGTGGAACTCAGTGATAAAATTCAGTTTCGAACCTCCTGGCGTTTTTTTTGTCCCATTTTGAAAAGCGTGCTCCAAACATGAGCCTACAGATAGTGTTTGCATGATACACTGCTTTTGAATCATGTCCGAATCAGTCTAAGCACTTGATTAAACTTCAGAAATAACCCTAAATCAAATAAGGCTGAGAAGTGCATTTGTTGATTTAGCTAACGGACTGAAGTCCTGGCCAAACGATCGCAGCATTTCAACGCAACATATCGCAACATTGTTGGGCGCAACATGTTGCCCGCGTTTGGCTATCCTGATGCGACGTCTTGGGGCATATTGGGTGCTGTTGGCTCAAATTTGACCATTTTCACATTTTGCGCCCAACCGCAATGTTGCGATCGTTTGGCCAGGGTTTGAAGTAGGTTACTGCTCTTACACAAGAGTATCAGCTGCAGGAATGATGCAACTAACACATACCAAAATAAGGCCTGTAAGGAGACCAAAAAAGAAATGTATAAAAATAACCAAGTAGTAATAATTGCGACACTTATAGAAATAGTTTGAAAATTAGAACCAATATTGGTCACATTCTCCCCTTACTTTTGCTTGTCAATAAAGCTGCGGTACTAATTTGCAAGTCGACTAAGCATGTGTAGCTTGAATATCTGCCCGCGTGCGTTGCACTAGCTGAGTTACCTAGGTAACTTCTTCAGCAGAGGTTACTAGATATAAATTCGTTAGCGATGTTCCGATAGCGGTATTCGCATGATATGTCAGGGCCATATATAGCCAGAAACGAGCTATGACTGAGGCAATGTCCATGGTTAAATTCTATTCCTAGATATTTAGGATGTTTATGATGACTATAAAAAAATAAGAACGAAAAAAAAATAAAATAAAATAAAATAATAATAATAATAATAATAATAATAATAATAA